CAGGAATCACCTGCCAAAGACTAGATAAAATTTACTATTTGACCTGAGCCTTGAGATTACTTGGGCAGGTGGCTGCTTTATTAAGATATTCCCATCTGGGACAGTAATGTGAAATTTAGCCATCTGTTTGCAGAGCTATTTAAGTGTGTATATCCATTTCTACACATAGGGCTTTACCAGAGTACTGCTGCAGGGCTCTGAGTGAACATGACTGGATTCAGGAAGTGCAGTTAATCATCACATGTATGTAGTACTTCTTACACATTACAGAATCACCTGTGGAAAGCCATGGAAAAGAGATGCAGGATGGAACACGGCCTGGGAGTTTCTGGTCATTTCCAAAATTAGAAAGAATTGTTTGCTGTAAAACAAGTAGCCAAGGCAACAGCAAAGCCTGTGCTTAATGGAGGACAACTGCGTTTACCTGAATTCCTGGCTACTCTTGATAATATCTTCATTTCACAACCTATGTGACACCATGTCGTGGTTTAATCCCAGCCGGCAAGAAGGAGAAAAATAACTGTTACAGCTGAACCCAGGACACATCACTATCAGGTACTAGAGCATTGCAGGTCCTCAGTATCATAAAACAAATACACATGCCATTCTACAAAACAGCACATTTCCAGTTTTAGGTGCTTTTCTAATATGCTTATGGAGAAATCAAGCAGCAGAAGCAAACACCTTTTTGTCCTGTTCTTCTTTCTAAGCATTGTTTAGCAACATGAGTTGTTCTTAAAACTTAGGTTTGCCCAAAGGATATAAAAGGAGTGCTAGATGATCTGTTCTGGAAAAAATCAAGTTGTCTCAACAGGGGCTTGAATATATTCATTCTAGAAAAGATGGATCCAGCTGCCTCAAATTTGGCACCAAAAATACCATCACTGAGATCACTTGGGCCAAAACTTGGACAAAAATCCAGGAATCCTGACACTCATGTCTTCATGTAACCATGAGATCACAATTCTCACAGGTTTTCCAAAAAAAAAAAAGGAGGTACATTGTCATAGTTTCACATCACTACTATTAACTTTTATGAGTAATTACAGATTAAATCTAAGAATCTCAGATGTCCTCCTTCTGATGGCTCCACAACAGGTATGTAACAAATCTGCCAGATGAGACAGTATTTCTGTATAAGAAAACTTCTGTATGAGGCTTTCATAGTCTTTTATGAATAGGTGCCATTATCTCTACTTTACAAAGGGGAAAGTTAGACACAAGTATGTTAAAGATCTTACCTAAGCTGTCAAAGCTAAAAAGGCCCATTTGCACATGCTGGCTCAGCTGTGTGCTATGTAACTGCTGGATAAGACTGTTTTCAGACAGGCCACGGTATCCACATCGTTTTAGGAGATAAAAGCCAATGCTTTGCAGACTCTTCTGAAGTTCTTCTGTCATATACTTCTTCAGAATGAAATGCCCGCACATTAGGATTGCTCAGCTGAGGTCCAAAGTTACATTAAGTAGCTTGTTGCTACAGAAATGGCATCCAAAGTGTACCTCAACTAGAAGGACTCACTGGACTGCTCAAATCGAGACATGTAGCACACATTATTTATAAGGTAAGATGACAAAAATGATTTTTCATCTCTGCAGGTATGTCTGGAATCACCCTTGATTCATATTAATCAACAGGATGCCTAACTTCTTCATTCTAAGAGCAATTAAACAGATTAATTATTTAGAAACGGTTATTCCGCATGCAAGCCCTCCGGAAAGTCTGTCGCAAACATCACTAGGGCTCCCCCCTGCAGTGCCCAGGAGCCTGGTTAAGCAACACTTCACCTTTTGCAGTTTTCCTGTGAGGAAAGGGGAATCTCTCACCTTTTGATGCTTCTGAAAACAGCAGAAGTATCCCAGCATGCCATGCGGCAGGGAGTATGCAGCCTTCCATGGTGCTTGACAGAACCATGTTCCATTTGTATTGTTCTACCACATGGTTAGATCAAGCACAAAGGAAAACCCCATGAACAGCCAGAGTCAGAGTTAGGCAGCGCCAAAGAGAGAAGAGCGTTGAGAGGAAGCAGCATGGAGAAGCACAAGCTGAAGGTTCACGGAGAGCTGCTCTCCACTCCACCCATGCAAAAAGGTGCTGGATACAAGAGGTCATCCTTTATGCTATAACTGCAGGAACACCCTGGAGCACAATTGGGGTTAGTGTACAAGAACAGAGCCCAGGTGAATTCAGAGACAGAACTAATACGATAGAAAATGCTACCAAAGGACTGCAAACAGCTCCTTCCAGGAAGAATGTGCGACTTCCACCACATACTGAGTGCCCAATCTATTCTGCTCTTTATTAGCTACTTACTCTCTCCTGGTGTCTTCTTTCAGTATAAATGCTGGTTTGGTTTGCTCCATTTATTTAAGTGCAATCTCAGACATACCGCAGCACATACTAAAGCAGACTCTGAGCTGATGGCCAAGCTCTGGCATTAAATGCTCCCCAAGCTCCTTTTGAGGCTGATTTCAGCTCCCAGTGGCCTCTCATGCTGGTAGCACTTACACTGACAAACTGTAATTACCACTGCTTTTCTTGTTTTCGACTGCACTTTAGAGCAAGGTAGTACACACATGCTACTACAGAGTTATTAAGGCAACCAGGAGTATTTTGGTATTCTGTTTCTTGGCATGATGTTTGTTGGGTTTTGTACATCATTTGCTGATGAAAGCATTCTCTTTCTGACATCCTGGATTGTGTCAAACAGCTTTACTTCTTGTAACTCATTCCTGCAACTTTGACCCAGAAAGAAGGGCGTTAGGTTTTGGCTTGACTGCTCCC